CATGAAATTCGCGCGCTCTTTTTTCCTTCTTCTCTCTCTCTCTCTCTCTCTCTTCGTCGAAACAGAGAAACCAACGACAGAGATTTGGAAATGGAGCAGATAAGTAAGTATTTTCTTCTCTATATTTTTTCTTCCTTTTTAAAAATTTGAGAAATTTTCCTCCTCGATGCAACAAAAAAAACCACGAAACCAAGGAGGAAGATTCGGAAACTTTTTCGTGCTCTTCTCTCTCTCTCTCTCTCTCTCACTCTCGCCATCGTTCAAAAGGAAAAGAAAAAAAAAAAAAGAAAGATCGAGGGATAGACATTTGGAAATGGAACGTGTAACGGGGCACTTTTAACTAAATAATTAACCAGGCGCATTTTAAACGCGCTTTTCAAATCGTATTTACGAGTAACCATTGGAATAGTTAACAGTTTGAATACGGGACGGAAGGTAGAAAGAGACGGGGCGAGCCTCGTAAGAACCTCGGTCGATCGTTTACTCTGCAAACCGACGCTGCGCCGTGGTGCAAGTTAATCTGTGCCGTAGACACCGTAGACCTCGAACGCGATCAGTACCACGGCCGCTTATTGGCCTGATTTTCGCCATTATCAATATTAATAGAGTCTTGGATCCATTAGTTGTTTCAAAGAGAGAGAGAGAGAGAGAGAGGGAGGAGAGAAGAGAGGCACGGGTCGAACGGTTTAACCCGAACACACCTTATAATGTACCTAAAATATTCGCAAGTCGCAAAGTCGAATCGTTTCGTTACGTAAATTTTCTTTCCTCCCTTTTTTCCTCCCTCCCCCGCCCCCCTCCCCCCTCTTCGTCAACAACAACAACAATTTCTTCTCGACATTTCCTGTATCGACGTTTCCTGCGCTCGTGAATAACGCGTAGAGGAATGCGACGCGTAGAGGTTGAACAAGAGGAAGAGAAGAAGGGAAAAAAAAAAATTTTCCAAGGAAAAACGATGCGTAGGCTAACGCGTGGACGACGCGTCGGTATGTCGCGGCGTGTATTTATTTACGTGGAAGCAAGAAACAAGCGAAGAAATCGTTCGCGGATATGCGAACGTATTTTTTAAGGACGCAACAACAACAACGTTGACACACGTTGACGCCTCGATCCACGACCTCGATCATTCCCGTCGCGATCGACGCGAGATACTTGTCCTCGAGGGTAAACAAAATTCCTGTGTGCCGATCGAATGTATCCGAATGCCCGGGACGAAAATATTCGTCGATCGTATCGGATTCGCAATCGATTCGCAGTCGAACGATGATGAGTCGCCGCGGTTCGGGCGAGCCCTTGCGACGAACAGGCGACTTTTTATCCGAGCGTAGAGAACGGGATCGAAACGAAAATCGATCCGATAAAACGGAGGTTGGAAACGGAGGGGATCCGCTTCGATTTCGATCCAAAGCGAATGGACCATCATTTTTTTACACGATCCGATCCGTGACGAACATCTAATAGCTGATAAATCCGTGCCATTAGGTTTTCAACTGATGGTTTCGTGGGTACACGAAGAGTTCGCTCAAACTTCCATCGATGCTCGGGTCCTTTGTCCAGGTTTAGAAACGATCGATCATCCCCGTGGTTCGTTTGCTAATTAATCGATGCGAGAGAACAGAAGAGGTCGTGTGTCGTTAAGCGGAGAATACGCGAGAAATAATCGCGTTTATTTTTATTTTTATCCTTCCCGATTATTACGATTATTATTATTATTATTATTATTATTATTACGAGCATGAAACGAAACGATTAACTTTTAACCCGCGATTTTTCCAAACAACGCGATCCAAACGCGATATCCATCCAGATCGTGCTTTCGCTCGAGTCGCAATTTTCTTTTTTTTTTTTTTTTTTCCCTTTTTTTCCCCCGAGATATGCGCGGGAATCGAAGTTTTGAGGAGGTTGAGGAGGGACGGGAAGGTTGAATGATCAAACTATTTTGCATCGCGCGCGCATTAACAACTAATCCATACCAACGTTCCCGTTTCCGTACCGTTCGTGGCTAATTAACATTTCGAATACCCGATATGAGCTGCAAGTACGTGCGTGGCACGGATAAAAATAACTGAAAGAAGACTTTCAGTCGAGGACACGTTGTCTAGGAGGGCGACACGTGAAGTTACGCAAGGTATAAATCTTGCCCATTTCATTTTTCTAATTCCGCCGCTCGTTGTACGAACGAGTTTGGGGCGAATGGAGGGTCGAACGGCGGCCCCGAACGATCGTTTCACGTCAGCTTTGCTCGATTTCACGAGCAAAGCGTATATACGCGCGCCTCTGAAAGTTTAATCGCGATGCAGCTCGAGCTGTCCTACTGGAAAGACAAGCCTTGTCTCTCTCTCTCTCTCTTCACTTCGAGGAGTGGAAACAAACGAAAACGTCGAAACGAATTCCAATCGCGAGAGAGTGTTGTACACAACCCCCGCTTCTAACCCCCGCTTTTTCAAACGGCTCGATAATACAAACTTTTGCAACTTGGGCGGTGTAGTAGCAGCGTGGCAGTTTCGTATGAATCCTTTAAGCGGCCGCCTTCGAGCTCGAGTCGATCTCCGCGGCAAATTTTACAAGGCAGATCCCCCTCTCCTCCCCCACCGCTCCCGGCCGCTCTACAACACGGATCGAATCGAATCGATGCCGGTTTAGACCGACTTTACGTCTTGCATATTCCAAACAACGCGCATATACAAGTTCCGTGTATATGCCGTGGCCGTATCAGAGGTTGAAACCATGCTTGCGTTCGAAACGATTCGCTGGTGAATTGTAACTGGTTAATTAAAAGGAACGAAGAAACTCCTCGCGAACGATAAGAAAAGCTGGCTCGTATCGTCTTCGACACGTGAAGCCGTTACGTAAACCTTAATATGCTGACCCTTGAAACGACGACGATACGTCGTTTCGATACGAACCAATGATCTCGACGATCAAATGCGTCCCTCGCGCTCTTTTCCTTTTTCTTTTTCCCCCGCTCTTCATTCTCTTTCCCCGCGACGGAAGGAAGAAAAGAAGTCAGATAAGACGAAGAGAAAAAAGGCGTCGAAATTAATCGGAGGAGCAAGAAGAAGAAGAAGAAGAAGAAGAAGAATTAATTAGGAATCTCTGGACGTATATCCCGTATACGATACGGCCAACTGTCACCTCTTGAAGGGAAATATAATACGTGTGTATATACACGGTATAGCGGACCCGTGCGTTCGGCACATGCACAACCGCGTTACGTAAGTCCACTACTAAATCTGCCAGCCATTTTGCGCGCGCGGCCGGCGAGCGATCGCGCGACTGCGACTCCGCACCTACTTATATGCTGAAACGAACGAACGCATCGCGAGCGAGTGGATGTGAGCGAACCCCTCCGCGGCCACGACCGGCCACCCTTCTTCTCTGCCTGCCGCCCATCCATCCTTCCGCTTCTCCTCTCCCTGTTCCACCACGCTCCGTGGCCAACGCAACGCGGCCGACACTGGGCTAAAACATTTTGAATGTCACCGTCAGTTAACCGACGAGTACAGTTTTCTACCAGCCGTATTCTACACAACGCGACACACACACGCGCGCGCGCTCACCACGAATCCACCACCACGCTCTCCGCCGTATTACGTACGTATCGCGACGCGCTATGCATCGAGATCGTTGCGGTTCACAATTTTAAATAACCCGATAAGCGTTATCTCGCTCTCTATTTTTAATCGCCATTTTTTTTCCTTCTTTTTCCTTTTTTTTTTCTCTCTCTTCTTCTTTTTCGCCAACCCGTTACTTATCAACCCATTTTCGAACGCGTTTACGAACCGATCCGAACGTGGAATCAACGTTCAAACGGTGTCGCGCCGAATTCGAGCTCACGTCGTAGACACCCTATCGGTGTCGTAGTATTAGTTTCGAGGCACGAAACACGCAAACAGGCTTTTAGCCTAGAGACGGTGATCAAAGTTGAAAACTGGGTCGATTCCATTCTGTTTCATTAATAAATAAGCGAGTTTCGGTTTTTCTATTTTTTTTTCTTCTCTCTCTCTCTCGGGACCGAACCGGTTGATCGTTGGTCGAAGCGGAGAGAAAAACACGCGGGAGAGAAGTAGAGAGAGAGAGGGAGAGAGGGAGAGTAGAGGTAGCGAGTCGGAAAACACAGGGTTTCCCGCGGGCAACAAAGGAATTCGGTTTCTGGTTGTGGTCGTGAGGCCAGGCGTAAGTAATAATCATTAAAGTCCTTGAGTAGCGTGCGTAGAGGAGAAAGGTTATTCGAGGCGGGTTATTCCGGGCGTTCTTTCCAATTGAAAAGCTTTGCGCAATTCGAATTCTTTCGTCAGCGTCTCAAGTACAGGCCGGGAAGTGAGAGAATTCGCAACTCGGGGGAAACAATGAAGAATAATTCTACGCCGGTGGCGCATAAAGGAGCGGGAGAGAGAGAGAGAGAAAGAGAGAGAGAAAGAATTTTGAAAATATTCGTGGAAGCGGAGTTTTCAAGTTGTCACAATGGCGCAACCTGTTGCTCACCGGGCTTAGAAACTAAAGGTTTGCGCTTAAACGTAACGGACATACTTCGTTTGCCTCTTTTTTTACACCCAGCATCCAGCTAGGTTTTTCCTAAGTGCAAACGATTCGCGCGGTCATGCGCGAACCTCTTTCTCTCGATAATACGTGTATATATATATATATATGTAAATTATATATGTATATTATATACATATATATCTATGTATATAATACGTGTATATATATATATATATATGCACGTATTAAATTTTTTCTCTCTTCTTCTCTCTTTTTTTTTTCTTTTTCAAATAAAGAAAGAATCTCATTCTCCTCGATTCGCAACGAATTATCTCGCGTTGGTTGCAATTTATCTTTCGATTTTTCGTCGCATCCTCGTTTGTTTCCAATCGGCGAGGCGAGATATAGGAAAATTGTTATAAATGATTCCTCAAAAATTACGATCGCGTATCGGGGAATATACTTACACGTTTTACAGGATATCGCGATTCCATTGTTGGAATTAAATGCTGGTAGTATCGTGGTTTTCTGGCGAATTTATGTGACGAAGCGTAACAGAATTAACTGTGGCGCGCGGCAAATTGGTTGTGTTAATTTTTCACGTGCATTTTCACGACCGCGTATTGTTCCATGGAATTTCGCGGGATGCAAATATTCGAAAGGGCACTTCAGGCGTACATTTTGTTTTCACGAAACATTAAAATGAAAAAGGTCCATTACGATTCGTTCGAATTTAATTATCGTTATTTCAAACGGGCCACCGGTGTTTATTTTACATAAAAATGCTGACTTCGGATTTTACGCCACCCGTAAAATTCTGTTGCATTTAATATCTTTATTCGTCCGAACGCTCCCAACGCTCCACGCCGAAACGACGACTCCACGGGTGTTGCGCACCACGACCACGCGACGTCGATAGTTTTATTGATACATCGCTATAGTTCTCCGTCAATTCGCATAATAATTTGAAACGAAGATGCAACATGAATCTTTCGATCATTCGCAACATTCGTTCGAATCGTTCACGGTTAATCGGTTATGCGCGAGATCGTTAGTTTGTATATAATTCCTCTCGTAATTTAACTTTCGATCGAATCAAATTTTCTTTCTCTTTTTCTCCCCGTTTTCGCATCTGTGCGAAAAATACGACGACAACAACACAACCGGTCGTTTCGGTTTCGTACTTTGATCGCGTTTTCCTCTCTTCTCTTTTCCTTTTCTCTTTCCTTTTTTTCTTTTTCTTTTCTTTTTTTTTTTTCTGCCAGTCACTATTTGCATGCAACATGCGAATACGACGACAATTTTTCATTTCCATCGTACGAAAGAGAGAAAAAAAACTGATGGCGGCAAAGTAGGCTTTTCTCCTCGCGTTCGATTCTTTTCTTCTTCTTTTTCTTCTTCTCCTTGTTTCCCGAAAGAGAGGAGTAGGGTCGCGTCTCGTCGGCTACCATCATACGCACGATCATAAACATTACGCGACGATTGCTATTCGATTTCTCGTCACGTGTTCGCGAAAATTGAAGTCGGCATTTTCGAACGGGATGGAAGGTGGGAGACTAGCAGCAGGCTCGATGGAAACCTCTCGCCGCTACTTAAGGACTTTGACACGCTATGCCTGTCGTTCTAAATCGAGGTCAAACCGAATTTTCTAGTTTAACCTACTAAATAAGGCAAATTTCTGCTTTCTAAAACAAGACGCTACGCCGGTTGATCGTAACTTCACCGTGAACTACCGCCACTCAAAATTAGTCCCGGCGACTCGAGGGATTTCCGAACGATCCAAGCGCTGAGACAGAGCGGCTTTTAGACGTAAAAAAAAATTGTATCTCCATTGTTACGCTCGATCCCTCGCTCGGTACCTCCACATCTCCACGTCGGATATTTCGTCGATATTTTTTCTTTTTCTTTTTTTTTTTTTTTGCCTTTCATCGATACCCTCGCCTCGATAGAATCGATAGATCGATCTAAGAATCTAAGAATTCGTTCTTTTTCTCTCTCTCTCTCTCTCCCTCTCTTTGGAACTACTGGTACTTTCGATGTAAATAGGTTCATTTCGAAATTTAAAGATGCCGCACACGATCCCCCACCGTTCCATGTAGTCCAGTGTCAACACGCGAAGAGAATTTCATATTGGTTATTATCATACGAATATAGCAGGCCTACGATGACAACGGATTACATGAATAATTGTCACGTGCACACCGAACGCGATATGTAAATCCGCTATTATTTGATACAGTTGCGGCAATCGTTTGTTCGATTCGATGTTGCTCCTCACGATCCTTTGTATACTTTTGACATGGTGGATTGGGCACTGTTTACAATTAATATCGATCCATTCTTTCGCGCGACATTTCGTCGGATTAGTCGCGAAACATCGCGCTCGAAAATCTGCACATACATATTTGAATCGTCCAATTTCCATCCTCGCGATAATTTCGCAAAATTTCGAGAGCGAAGCTTCGACGGATGATCGCCAGCTTCCACCGCCAGTTTCCAAGTTTCCTCTCTCTCTCTCTCTTCTCGTTTCTTCCTTCCTTCTTTCTATCCATCAATTTCGGAAGAGTTTCGTCGCAGCTTCGTCGATCAGCAAGCAACGGTCGAGCGTGGAACTTTCTCGATCGCAGGCGGTTGCATTACGATTCGAAAAGTGTCGGGGACTGTGTCGTTGCGAAGATCGCGAGAGGAAAAAGAGTAATTCCGAGAGGATCGCGTCACTCACGCGTTTTCGGATACACATGTTCTCTTTCTCCTTTCGAACGAGATTTCGATCAGTGAATTTTTTCACGTCACCAGCCGCGATGCCTCGTGACGCACGCGCGAAAATTATCGCCGATCTCCGGCAAATTAATTATAAAATAACGCGAATTTCTCGGGACTCGAATATTTCGACTCGGCCAAACTCGCGCCGTTTTCTCGAAGTTTCGCAAGGTCGGAGAAGATGAAAAAGTAAGAGGAAACGTTTTTTTTACTGGAGATCGGTTATTAATGAACTTTTCGATCGAGTTTAATCGCGGGACCTTTGCCCCATGACAAATTTCCACGATAAATAGTTGATTCGTAAATAGTTACACAGTTACTAGCTAAACTAGTTGGCGATTAAAAATAATTCGCAAATAAGTCGGGACAACGGATAAGAGAATGGTCTCGAGCACGATCCATATTCGATCCAAACGTGTTAACCTTTTTTTCCAAAAAGAAAAAGAAAAAAAGGAATCCTTCGACTCGAAGATATCCGCCCAATTAAAAAGAAAAAAGAAAACGGGTAATAAAGTGATCGGTGAACGAGATGCTCGTCCCCAACTCGTTTCGCGGAACCATCTATTTATTCGTAATCACGAAAACACGATCACTTCCCATGGACGTGGTGTTAATTTTACTAAGTTACCGCGTCAATAAACGTCCACCTCGAACGTCGTCTCGTACGGCCGGCATAAAGCGCAGACGTCCGCCGTTTCGATTTATCATCGAGGAACGACCGGCCCGTTTTATCGTCTCCGCGAATATTCGAGGTTAAGAACGGATCGTGGTCGGGCCACGTTGCGCCAATATCGCAATCCGAACGACGTTTTTCCTCTTCTCGGGGAAATCGCGGATTCCATCGTTATCTGAACGTTCCGTTCGAACGAAGAGAGAGAGAAAGAGAGATAGGATTCAACGAAACCAAGGATCGCGACAAAAAGCGACGTTACAGGAAATCGCGCGCTCGAGCAACACAACGATATAAGTGCGGCCGGCTCGAGCCGGCTCGTTTCCCTCCCAGCATCCGTGTTCTAATTGCCTGGCGAATCGAGCGCGCGTCGCGTCGATCGGCTGTAATGCATCCAACGGCTAGACACCGTAAACAGCGAGAATCCGTTTACCTAGGTGCGTGTCATTATTCGAAAGGAAATTTCATTCCGAGGTCTCGATTCTATCTATCTATCCATCTATCTATCTATCTACTCTGAAGCGGATAGGCACGCCAAGATAGACAAGAAGCTGGAGAAACGTGTCAAGGAAAGATACAATAATAATCGGTATCCTCCGCGTTTCATTTTCCTCCCCAAGTTTCCGCTGTTGCAAGCCGCGCCAAACACTCCGCGACTTTCGCGTTTCGGTCGCCCTTGAAATGTTGAAAATGCACAAGTACCGGTCGTTACGTGTTCCGGAGCGACAGGTTCCCCTGGCGAAACACGTGACGCATTGCGTATACTTTCGCAATCGTTTGCCCGTGCGTCCCCTGTACCAAGTGCTATATGCGCGAGGCGACGCTATTTAACTTGCAAATTACGGAGAAATCGTTCAATTTTTCAACTGCCTTCGAAACGACGAATTTTCGTTCGCCGTTCGTTTTTTTTTTTTTTTTTTTCCTTCGTCCATTGGGGAGAGAACAAACAATCTTAACCGGTAGGAAAAAAAAGAAAATATATATACACGTATTTAGAATGAGAGAGAAAGAGAGGAGGAGGAGGAGAAATGTTATTTCGTTCGTAACGCACGCGTAAGGGGCCGTCAGATGATGGCCGTTTTCCCGGAAAAGGGACGTCTCTCGTTCTCTCGAGGCGGCGCTCGACATTTCGGTGTTCCTACGGGACACCTGGCAACCAGCGTCGGTCGGACATCGAAACCCAAGAAGAAGCCCAGAGGGAGAAACGTAACGGACGCGACATAAGACCGGCTCGAACCAACGTAACGAGGTCACTCGTTATACGAGAGGGAGGACTCGGCGACGAAAGGTAGACGATCGTAGACGAAACACCGATAAGACCGGTTGGAGAAGGCGCATCGAACGCGGCTTGCGCGAAATGACACATCTTCGGCGCACACACCGAATGGAATTTCTCGACGTGGAAAATCGTCCATCCGTCCATCCATCCATCCATCGTTTCTCGTCGAATCTCTGAAGGGCCACGAGCCACGACCCGAGTCTCTTTCGATTACCACACCACCACGTTTTCTTACATCTATCTAAATTCGCCATCCAAATCGTAAGGATGAGAACGGAAAAGTGTGTGGGCGGGAGGGGAGGGGGAGAAAAATCGCGGAGGAAAGAGGAGAAAGAAGAAAAAAGAAAGGAGAAAGAAAATGGGGGAAAAGAGAGGGGAAAAAAAAGTCGCGGCGCGGCTCGTTGAAGAGCGCACAATCTTTTCGGCCATTTTGGTGTCTAAGAAGCTCTCTAGTGCGTCTTGTGGCCTGTCGATCTCCCTCCCTTCGACCTCTCCTCTCCTCGCAACCCGACAGCTTCGTCTTTCTTGCTCTTTCACGCACCTAGAATCGCATACGATGACACGTGCACACGCTCGTTCCATGCACACACGCGCACGCGAGGGCACTCCTCTTTCCGTCTCTATCTTTTCCCCTTATTCTTTTCCTCCTTCTCTTCGCCTCTCCACTCTCTTTCTCTAATCCTCTCTCGCTCCCTCTCTCTCTTCTTTCTCGCTCCCACTCTTCCTCCATCCTTCTCTCCTCCTCCTCCTCCTCCTTCTCCTTCTCCTTCTCCTCTTCTCGCTCGCTCCCTCTCTCTCTCTCGCGCTAGGTTTCAGTCCGTCTTACTCGCACGCCTCCCCCTCCATCGGCCCCTTCCTTTCTTCCCTCTCGGTGTGTCTCGTGCGCGCGAGCGCCAACGCATACACACACGCTTGTACACACGTTGACACGAACCCTCGCACACCAACCAACGGATCGCGCGTACAGCACGTAAGTAAGTAAGTAAGTAAGTAAGTAAGTAAGTAAGTAAGTAAGCGAATGAGCGAGCGAGCGAGCGAGCGAGCGAGCGAGCGAGCGAGTGATGTACATGTACGCGTAGACGCGTGGTATACTCGCGCGCGATTCGTTTCTACGATGATTCGCGTCCGTCGAGGTTTTCTCGAAAACGAGGAGAGGAGGGGGTAGGGGGGAAGGTAGGAGGGAGGGAGCGAGAGAGGAGGGGAAGGAACGAGAAAAACAATGATCGCCGGTACTCACTCTCACGACAGGAAGAATCACGGGTTGCACTTCCTTCTCGCGTGACGATCGACGATGCGTCGTCCTCCGTCCTCAGAATGGTTGGTAGCGGCTCGCCACTCTCGTGTCGAGCCGGTAGCCGCGCTCCGGGCGCATCTTCCTTGACATTTTCCTCGGCGAAAAAAAAAAGAAGGAAAAAAAAAAATCGCAATCTTCTCTTCGCTTCTCCCTTCTTGCGTATATATATATATATATATATATGATGATGATAATATATATATATGTGTGTGTGTGTGTGTGTGTGTGTGTGTATGTATATATATATATATACTTTCACGCACCGAGCAACAGAAACGTGACAAGAACGTAACACAGAGGCGCGACCGCGAAACGATCGACGGCCGCGAACCGACAAGGTCTCCGACGAGGAACGTAGCTGCTCGCTCGTAGACTGACACGCGTACGAAAAAGGAGACCGAGCGCGAACTAACGAAATGGAATCGACGGTTGCACCGAACTCTCCAGTTGTGCCGCCTCCCCTCCACCGTCTTCCTTCCACGCTAGGAGCCTGTTGCTCTCCTCCGTTCGATCCTTCCGATCCTCTCGAGAGCGTCGCTGGTACTCTTCTCTCTTTCTCTCTCCCTCTCTCTCTCTCTCTCTCTCTCTCTCTCTCTCTCTCTCTCTCTCTCTCTTCTTCTTCTTCTTCTTC